GCAAGATCTCATATGCCTTTGACCAGATACCAGAAATTAAGATTACACAACCTGTCGCTGGTAGACTTAGTCAAACTTGAGGAGATGGATGGGCTATGTCCTAGGTAAAGCTCCTGCCGGAGGACTTTTAGGGCCTAGGATGTGCACACGTGCACTAACCAGTCCATATTTTTTAGTGCAGTGTCAATGTGTTTTTTCACTTGTTCTTTTCTTTCTTTCCCAGTATGGTCCAGAGATCTTTATGCTAAACTTTCTGTTATAGTTTCAACTGTTACTAAAAATGGAGGTACTTGTGCTACCTTGTGTTATTTCTCTAATTCAAAATCTGATGTCAAGTTTTATCGTTCTGCAGTGATAGTTTTGGTTCCTTGTTGGAGCAGATGGTTGAAGGACTGACTCGACATGTTTCTGATGATTCTCCAAATGTTAGGCGCCTTTGTTTAAGAGGACTTGTGCAGGTAGTTACTGCCACCAACATACTCTATTTTGCGGCTCTATGAATTCCTACAGTAAACTGGAACCCTGTGTTTCGCAGATTAGACGAGGTGTCCCCATCACATTTTTTTATCTGAGTCACACTTATGTCACACCATCCCTAAACTAAATCTTGAAGCTAAAAGTTAATAAAGAATGAAAAAATAGAAAACTCCGAAAAATAAAGACCTTAAAAGAAACCCTTAAAAGCTGAACCATGAACCCTGAAAAACTAAAAATATAAAATACCCCAAAAATCATAAGTTTTATTCTTTAGAATAAAACTAGAACTTAAATCCTTAAACAAAACCCCTAAAGGAAAGAAAAGAACTGAATAGTTGAGATGCACATATGAATGTATGCATATATACATATGTGAGATGCACATGCCGAATGCGAGCCACTTTTCATGAATGATCTCATTTCTTTAATTTGTTCAAATGGTTGAGATGCACCTAGAGCATTCAAATCATTTAGCTTCTCGGAAATTTGATCAACTTTTGCACTTTGTTTCCACCATTTTGTGATACATATGTGATTCTTTGGGATGCCTTGCAGATGCCACTAGTCCATGTTGTCCAGTTTAATACGCAGATTCTCAGCGTTATAGTTGCTCTGCTTGATGATCCGGATGAATCAGTCCAGCTTACTGCTGTCTCTTGTTTGCTGACGGTGATTGTTCATGATGCTCTTTACAGCATTTGACAAAAGAAACGTCAAGGAAAAAGAAAATATGTTAGTTTGCTGTATATATAATCTTACTTGTCTAATATTCGCTTTTATAGGTTCTTGGATCTTCTTCTGCTGCTGCAGTGGAGCCCGTTCTGCTTAGTCTTTCAGTTCGGCTTCGTAATCTTCAAGTAAGTTTTCAGTTCAGGAGTTGGTGGGAAGTTATTGTTGCCGCCAAGAAGGTGGTTGTGCTCGACTGCTCTATATCTTTTTAATTGTTTGTTCAATTGAACTAAGTATTTGCTAGCTTGGACAGCATTTAAATATCTCTATGATTTTGCATTTAAAATATAATTATATTTTAAGAGATACATTTTGATTAGGTTTGGAACATTGAAAGTTAGGTAATTATGTTTCCTTTTCCCGTACAGTAGGTCTTGGATGCATTGAGATTTGAGACTCAAGTTGTAGTGAATGAACCAAATTTCTGTCCTCTGTTTAACAGATATGCATGAACGGGAAAATCCGGGCCAATGCATTTGCAGGATTTGGAGCCTTAAGCAACTACGGGTTTGGGCTACAACGTGACACGTTTCTTGAGCAGGTCTGTTAATCACTCTGAACCGACTTTAAAATCTTGAAGTTCTTGCGTATGCTCCATTCTTGAATACTGACTTTTTAGCAAGATAGGGCTCAGTTTTGGTCTCATATGATTACTACATTTTAACTATATTTAATATCTGTTTCCTGGTTCTAATTTTTGTAAATTCTCTAAAATGATTGTTCCGTTATTTAGGTTCATGTTGCTTTTCCACGCTTGGTGTTACATCTTCATGATGATGATTTTGGTGTGAGACGGGCTTGCCGGGTAGATAATTCTCGTGCTACTTATTGACTTGAGTGCATATTTTCCGTAAGGAAAAAAAAAAAAAAAAAAATTCTTGATCTAATCTAATTTTTACTAATTTGTTATCACTTTTCCTCTCAGAACACTTTTAAGTGCATTGCCCCATTGGTCGAGTTTGATGGTATGGTTGCTCTTGCCAGTACACATCGATTTGTTTCTGATCATAGGTACGTGTTGATCGATCCACACTCGAGCTCTTAATTTTGTGTGTTAGTTTCTCATTTCAATTTTGACTATACTTCTCTGTAAAAAATTTCATCAGAGCCGATTATGAGGACTTTCTGAGAGATATTGCAAGGCAAATTACTCTGCATATGTCATCCAGGATTACTACATACTTGGCATCGATTATCCAGGTCAGCAATGAGGATTTTTTCCTTCTCATCTTTCTCTTTTTTGCTTTAATCAGTATAAGGGTCTGGTTCAAACAAAACTAGTCCTAGTGTGAGAACTGTATTTGATGCTATTTTTAATTACGTATTATGCTATTTTTAATATTACATGGTGCTATCATTTTTCACAAATGTTAATATAAATTGTGTTTCTATTTTTAAGAAAATACATCCCGGTTAAAAATAGCACCAAAACACAGTCAAATAGAGCAATACATACCATTAAAAATAGCGATTCTCACGGTTCTCACGCTAGGACTTTCTCATTTGAACCACATCGTATATAGGGTATATATATATGTGCGCGGGTTTTTCTTTAATTAAAATATATAAAATGCAAATTGAGTAATAGTATAATAATTGTAGAATATTTAGTGGGAGATTTGTAAATAACTATGTATCTTTGCAGGCTTTCGAGGCTCCTTGGCCGGTAATTCAAGCAAACGCCATCTACTTGTGCAGTAGTATAATTTCTTTCTCAAGCGATCAACATATTTCTGCCCTTTACCTCAGCCAGGTTGCCGTTTACTGAACAAAAAGTCAAACTCTCATTCGTTATTTTCAAATGCTTGAAGATTTTCACGTTACTTAACTTTTTCGGGCCCACGCTCGTTTTTAGGTGTTTGGAATGTTGATTGGAAAGACTAGCCGTTCGACAGATGCTATTGTGAGAGCAACGGGCTCTTTGGCCCTTGGATTGTTACTAAAATCAGCCAAATCAAGTTCTTGGAAAGCCGCCAGATTGAATCAAGTCGATTTAAGTTTGATGGGACGTGAAATGGAGTCTTCTAGAAGGTTTTGATGTATTTGTGTTCGATTAAAAGTTTTTTTTATTCTTTTTATGGTGATGATCGAGTGTATTTATATAATTTGTTCGACAAGTTTATGTGCGTGTATCGTGTATATTAGAGGTGTAAAGCAGTTCTAACTTGAGCCATGACAATTGTTTGTAGCTTTGTAATACCACTGTTTTCTTTTCGAACATTTGTGCTGTGTATTAAGCAAAATGAAAAATGATCTTTACTAATACTAAATGAAAAAAACTGTACGTTTGTACGTTCGAACTACTGCTAGAAGTCAATCACTTAATAATGCATATGAATTAAGAAAAAAATGTTTTGCAGCGATAGTAGAGTTTTGTTGGGACTGTTGTAATTCTTAAATTTTATGTAATGAAATGAAATTGAGTAATTTATACATGTTAGCATACTCATCGTTCCAATTTATTTTATTTTTAAGTATATGTAATATATGTAATTTTTTTAATAATCCAATAAAAATCTATACTATTATAAAAGTGCCAATGAATCTGTAAAAATATTAATTGCCTAAAATAACCTTATTATGCCATATTTATAATGGCAGTTTTGTAATTTTAATACATGTATTTGATATATTAACTAATATTAATTTAAATACCTAACCAAGGTTCGGGCGGCGTATCTATCCGCACAAAATCTCTGGCAAATCAAACCAAAGCATGCGCCCTTCAAATTGTGGAGAGTTGCGGTGAATGGATTTCAGAATTGCCCCATTAATTTTTTTTTTTTTTTTTTTTTTTTTTTTTTTATGATTGCATTTTAATGGTTTGGATTTTTTCTGCAATGTCAATTCAAATTTGTGTATATTAAATATTTTATTTATTGACATTATTTTAAGATCGGTAAATACTTTTATGATTTTCTCAATAATTTTAAGAGTTTTAACCGTAAGTATATAAGATAAATTTTTTAACAATGTTTATTTAATTCTATAAGTTTATTAGTAATATGAAGTCGATAATCGATATTACTTATTCTCATAACGACCATAAACTATAGATTTATTTTTTAAAAAAAAAAGCTATGAGAAACAAAAAATTGTGTAACACTATGAGAGATACATTGTTGAATAGTTGTTTAGCAACTCAAACTTCTAATCTACTCAATTTATTTATTTAAATAAGATTAGAATAATTTTATAAAATTTTTTAATACTAAAAGTCATTCCAATTGTTTTCCTATCGAATGAGATGCTACTTGAGTAACTGATTTAATTTTGATCATACGATCGTCTACAAATTAATTAATATATCTAGAGAATCATGAAATGCCTATATACACTGAAGTTAATGAATTTTTATCAATAAATCATATCATACAACACCATTAATCATCTATTATTAACAACTATAAGTAAAAAAAAAATTAAAATCGATAATGTTTGTCCTCATAATGCTGATAAAGTATAGAAATATTTTTTGTTTTTCAAAATAACCTATAAAAAATAATAATTGTGTAGTAGTATGAGAACAGTTGAATTCTTGTTTTGCAACCTAAACTTCTAATATACTCAACTTCTTTCTTAAAATATGATTAGAATAATTTTATGAAATTGTATAATATTAAAACCCATGCAATTTATTTTCATGTCGAATGGGATGCCACTTGAGCAGCATAATTTAACTTAGATCATATGATTATCTATAAATTAATTAAAAATATCTGGAGAATCATGATATGCCTATATACCTTGAAAATTAATTAAATTTTAGCAATAAATTATGTCAATATACTATATATAATATTGTGTGCAATTAACTATTCTGAAAATTATCGATAATGATACAAAATATAACACATTCAATGTAAT